AACAATGACTTTCAGGAAGTTAGAAAGAGTACTGTTACGTCTCGGTTCGTTAGTTAATTTTCCGTAAATTCCTTCCGACGAAACTTTAGCGAAACAAGTCCTTTCTTAAATGAAACTGCTTTATTCTTTCTGAATATAACTTTGCGATACACTTAATTTCAACAGTCGCGCTAAAACAAACGCTATAACTCACGTCTCACGTGGCCAACAATATTTTATCCACATACATTCAATTACTCATTACCTCCCCATCGCTTCGTGGCCGGTCTTATATATACAAGACTACACTATATCTAGAAAGATCACGAGATCTAAGGAAAAGGAAAAAACGTGAAAGTTCGAGAATGACGTGGCGTGATACTAGTCACGTGACCTCGATGTTGCAACAATACTATAAGTAATTTGTATACTTTATCAAAATTTTAGCTGTTAACGTTGACAAAGGATTAATACAAATGAGATAACTAGAAAATTAATAATGATTAATTTATGCACAAACACGATAAAATGAAAAACATGAATTGGATACTTACGTTAAAAAACTATCCTGTATTATTTGTTACCGTAAACTGTATAGGCCTATATTATGTAGTATACACAGCAATTACTATGTCATACAGTCTTCATTTTTAAAATATGATAAGTGTTCGTGTTACCACTAACCAGTTACAAATTTAGTATCGCACAAAAGGCAATTTTATGAAAATTGAAATAAGATTAGGCATCATCAGTTTACTATTACATCAACTCTTTAGATTTTAAAGCTATTTTAAGTAGTAAAATTTTATATTAATTTTACATTGATTAAAAAAGAGGCCTACTTAGTATTAAAAAAACTTTAATAATCTTGTTGATTTTATTATACTTCTAGGTCCATGATTAATTTTGTAATGGCTTTCTTTGGGGTCTGAACAAGTATGTTCAAGAGGAATACAGTGCCTTGCAAAAGTTTTCACTCCCCTGCAAAGTCTGAGCTTGCAATCATGAAACTTTATATTTAGAATCTACATAATCTACTTCAAACTGAGAAAGCTAGAAAAACGCTGATATTATGTAAGTAAGTTATATCTTCAAAGAAAATTATAATATTTTCAATTGCGTAATTATTCAACCCTCCTAAATTAGTTCAGGTGCAGAGGATTAGTTTGAAAGGTCACAAAATTAGTGTAATGATCTACGTCTGTGTAATCAAAGTGGTTTAACATGACTTCAGAGTAAATGCATATGTTCAAGCCACAACTCGCGTATTATTACGACAAACCAACCATGAAGAACAAGGAGCTTTCCAAACAAGTCGTGGATAAAGTGGTAGAGAAACACAGATCAGGAGAAGGTTAAAAGAAAATGTCAAAATCGCTGATTATCCCTTTGAGTACAGTGAAGTCCATAATTAAGAAGTGGAACATGCTTCATACCACCCACTCACTACCCAGATCAGGCCGCCCTTCCAAACTACGCAGCTGGGCAAGCAGGAAGCTGGTTAGGGATGTTACTGTGAAGCCAACAGTGACTTTGAAAGATTTGCAAAGTTCCATGTCTGAGGTGGGAGTCTGTGTTTATACATCGATAATATCCCGGTCCCTAAGCAAAGCTGGCCTATATGGGCGAGTGGCAAAAAAGAAGCCTATTACAGAAAAAGAATAATCTTAAATCTCGTTTGGAATTTGCATCAAAGCATTTAAATGATACTACAGACATGTGGAATAAGGTTTTGTGGTCAGACGAGACAAAAATTGAGCTTTTTGGTCTAAATTCAAAGCGTTACGTCTGGCGCCGCAAGCCCAACACAGCACATCACCCAGTCAACACCATCCCAATTGTTAAGCATGGTAGTGGCGGCATCATGTTATGGGGATGCTTCTCATCAGCAGGGACTGGAAAGCTTGTCAAGACTGAGGGAAATATGGATGGTGCAAAGTACAGGCGAATCCTAGAGGAAACTTGCTTGAGTCAACCAAGAATCTAAAACTGGGTCGAAACTTCACATTTCAGCAGAACAATGACCCGAAGCACAAGACCAAAGCCATAGTGGAGTCGTTTCAAAAGCAGAAAGTGAATATCCTGGAGTGGCCCAATCAAAGTCCTGACTTTAATCCAATAGAAAACTTATAGCGAGCCTTGAAGATTGCAGTCCATCAATGATCTCCAACGAACTTGTCAGAATTGGAGCAATTTTGCCAGGAAGAATCGGCAAATATTACACCATCCCATTGTGCAAAGCTGTTGGAACCCTATCCAAAAAACCCTCAGCAGTAATTAGTGCCAAAGGTGCTTCCACCAATTATTGACTTAGGAGGCTGAATACTTATGCAATCAGCAAATTTCAATTTATATATATTCTTTGCAGGTTTTGCTGACATTCAACCTCCTTCACACATAACAGTGTTAAGTTTGATCATTAGAGATTTGAATAAAAACAAGCTCATTAAAAATATTATGTACATTATTTGTGTTTCATCAAAATTTTGACATTATTGGTAAGGGGTGAATACGTTTGCAAGGCACTGTTACTATTAAGCTGTTCAGTTTAAATACCGAAAGCTGGCGAAGCATTTGTAACCAATAGACCTAAAATTTTTGTTAAAAATAACTTAAACTGCAGATTCTTTCTTTTTCTTATGCACATTTCTCCCAATTTGTCGATTAGGTTATTTGACTTATTCCTTGCCCGTGGACCATGGTGTGTAAATAGAGTTAAACTTATCGGGTTTCGACGGCATATTTCAAATTATAAAAGACTGATTAACATTTCTTTTGTTATTTTGCTTAGAATCTATTTAGCTTGAAATTGTGGCATATTTAATTTAGATACAGGAAATATATGTATCGCTTTGGTAGAATATACTACAAAATATGATTTCATACCCAAATTTACAGAAAGAAAACGAGCAACAAGAGGATTTGAGGTAACCAGTAAAAGTTGCTAATAAACGAATTTGTGGACACCCAACATCGTATATTACCAAAATATTGGAGTTTTGTTTCCTTCTGTTTGGGTAGATCACAGGTTTCTCTTCTTTTAGTAACATGGGTCATAAATTGTGCTTAACTTTCGATTAATTTACTACTAAATTATAGAAAAAGTATACTATAGTAGCGTAAAAATCACACGCAATAATCAACGTACAAAACCTATGTAGATATAAAATGAAAAGAAACTGTGTGTGTGAAGTTCGAAATGGTTGGCTAAAAAATATGAATTACCAATTAAGATAAAATATATTATTTTTCTTTTAAATAACGTAAAACTTAATTGTAAACTTTTTATATCAAGGAATCCACATTATAAAAGTTAAAACCGACTTTTTTCGGCTTTCTTTGAAAATTTCTTAAAAAGTTGAAATTCGGTTTGAGTAGAAATAACTGGTCAATGAAGTTAACGCTAGCCTACTTTACATATTTTCAATCTGTTTCCCTACAAATTCAAGCCCAAAGTATTTTTTTTTTTTTTTACAAATTACAGTGATGTTTATTTCAGCGCAAAGCCATGTTGGGCCACCTGCTCTGTCTACCGATTTAAATCAAACGCCAGGTTTTAGTGATGTAAATCAGTAAACTTACCGCTGATCCACAGTGGAATACTATTGATGTATTCATGTACCTTTTCCTGTTTTGTCAAAAGTTGTTAAGGTGTGTTTTATAAACACAAATGCTAGTAAAAAATATAATGTCTGGTTCGTTTATTTAGATCAGAAAGTTGGTGTTAAATCACTCGGTAGCTGAATGACAGGATCCTTGAGCAACTTGTCCTCCTTAGCATTGGAGAGCAAACTGTCACACTCCATGTTCAGTTGCTTAGTGAAGCTAAGCGAAGTGATACACAGAAAGAAAAACCCGTTCCTTGTCAATTTGTAGAACAAATGAAAAAAGAAGAAGCTGAATCATTACAGGTGTCAGTGTATTTAAAAGTATCATACCTGTTACTCTGTAAAATAATTTAGATCAATCAAGTACACTTAATATGTTGAACCCTTCCTTATATGTGTCAACACAGTGTGCACTTTTAATGTTCTATTTTAATTACTTTTTTGGATAGGATTTAAAAATACTGGAAACCATAGCCAAGACAGTATAATATTTAGTCAGCTTTATAAAGCAATTTACAAAGAAGCTGCAAGGTTTTTCATTTTGTTCATACTAGCCAAAATATGGGTACTTTATATACTATATTTATTTAAGAATTATATTTCATTTTTATTCTAAATAACTTTAATTATATTGCGTATTTTTCTCAAAGTAATGCATATCTTTCCAGGATTTCGTAAATACATAATTCGTGGTAAAGCTTTTTTGTTCAAGATATGTTAAAATGTCATTGTAATTTAAAAAAAACAAACCTAACACCATAATTTATATTTTATTTGAATAGAATTCGATATATTTGTTAACATTCTTTCAAACCAAAACGGAAATAAACTGTTTTGAATATTATCCAAGTTGCCATCTAAGGAAATTAAAGATATATTTGCAAACAATATTTCCCTGAAAAAATTGATAAAAAGAGCGCACAAAAACGGAGCCTCTATTTAAGTTAAAAAGTCATAAACATAAATTTAAAAACAATAGAAAAATCAACGAAAAAATTTAGAATAAAATATCCACAAAGTCTGTCAAAATGGATGAAACATTATTTATTACATGTAGCAAAATACAAAGCAATGCAAGATAAAACCTCGAATTAAACTTGTTCCAATTTCACTAGGTAAAATTTCAGCCTTCTCCAGAACGTTGCTTAGAAGTCCCTAGCCCTATAGTTATAAGAAAGAGTAATATTTCCTCATTTTCTGAGTTTTCAGTATGTCGGTGTTTTACTTTGTAATGTTTATGTTTAAACTTTTGTAGGTCACTAGATGCATAAAAATATTTGTTTTTTAATCATAAACTAAATTTCAAAGAAAATAAAGAGATTATGTTTAATTTATACACTTCATACTTTAGCAAGTACATCTTTGGTGTTTTATGTCATCGGTATATTCAGTTTCTAAAGACATAATTTAACAAATAAATGTAAATTAAGTCATAAGATAAAATAAGTCGTATACGATGTAATCAGTAGTAATGCAGAAAAGGTTATTTCAAACTTGTGTTGAGCGTCTGTTTTACTAGTGCTATTAACTGAATGAGTCAATTTCTTATACCTCTAGAAGTCATTGGAAAGTTTAATATCACAGTTTTATTTTCCGAGGTAAAACTTGTACACAACATGCAACTATAAATGATTTAAAATAACTCAAAGGTTTAATCTGAGATTTCCTGGAATGTACGTGTTTTAGTTTCACTTCGTATCAAGCTTATAAAGTCACTGTTCTCTTTTTGTAACATATTGTTAACATTGTTTCCGAAGTTCTTCAACAGAAGGCCCAAACGTAGTTGTTCCATCACCACTTTTCCGTCTCGTCTTTTCAATCACTTCATCTGGCACCGTTTTCAGATTATAGGCTTGGCCAAGTTTAGCCATGATGTCGATAAACATTTTTGTAAAGTTATGTTTCCATCCGTACTCACTGGCGGCGTAGTGGTTAGGAAAACTGTGGTGAAAGTTATGAAAACCTTCTCCTAGAGCCCACCACGTAATATTGGCGCTCTCTACGGCAGTCAAGAAGCGATTGTAAGGCTTATTCCCCCGCCAGTGAGCGATGCTATTGATGAGCCACGTCAAGTGAAGGGAAACGACGTAGCGAGCAACACCATTGGTTACAAAAGCAAACCATACTCTCTCACCCCAGCAAAGAACTGGTATCAAAGTGGGTATTATGAAACCACACAAAAAAGCCAATGGTACATAGAAGCTGTTGAAAAAACAAAAAACTTCTATTATTACAGTCTATCTTTAATGACTTACATTTAATGAATTATAATTCAACTTTGGCTTGAATTTCTTGATGGCTTAAAGCTTCTGTAATTCTTACACAACAATTGAAATCTTTCACAATTGTTGTAGATGGTCTTTTACGAAGAAGCGACATCTACCGATTTTTTAGAGTGAAATTAAATTACTTTGTGTTTTTCTCTTTGCTCTTGTTTTCACATATCTCAGATTTTATTTACATTGCTAAATTTGCACTGAGATTGCAATTTTATATCGTAGAAAGTTTCTTTTTTCAAATTTTTAAAATTAACTTACAAATAGTGTGTCATTTTCCTTAATTTCGCGGCAAATAAAGACCATCTGATATTCAAAGTGCATGACTTTTTCTCATGAAAAAGTCATTAAATATTTTGTACTATACGAGTTTTACTTTCCATCACCAAGACACATTTAAAACAAACAATTATAGTAATTAGGAAAAGAAAGCGTTATGCAAGAACAACTAATTTCACAACTATGATCTGGTACACAAGCCTGCACTGGTTTTATTGTGTTAAAAGTGTTACATGTTCTACAGTAATTCCTGTACGCTGAATCCGAAAATGATATCCATTTTTCTCTATCATGTACAGATGATTCACAAAACGTCATCTATACTTTTACATAAGTGAATTATTGACAACCACTGGCTATAGATTTCTCTATACCAATCGCGACGTGAGAGTCTTATCGATCGCTCTAAAACCCAAACATAACAAACGTAATAATAAAAAAATGTTTATTCTGGTAAACGAAATAATAATTTGATCTAAGTAAGAGTTTTCCCCCAATTTGTAAAAAAATCCTTACGTAACAGAAAAAAATTAGTATTATTTTCGAAATATGCGTAGATGAATTACGAGAAATCCGTCATTAAAACCAAAACAACTTTTATGAAGTTTCAATTCGTAGGCCTGTAATAGTACAATGTCCGCAACCATGCTGAAATTATGAAATCTTACAAACTGACAAATAAATCAAAGACCATAAGTTACAGGTAAGAAAAGTAAAATGTATCTTTGTGGGAGAGGTACTTAAAAAAGTGAAATCCATGTCGTAAAAAAAGGTAGAATTTATAAGATTTAACTTCTGTTCGCAAGTCTCAAAATAGAGAATTAATTTTGCATCTTTCAACTTCTTGATCTCTTGGATAAAGTATAGAATATATTAGGTCGTCAAGAAATTAATGTCGCCTTTTTTTTTAGATGAAAAAACCAGAACAACTTGTATATCAAAACAAAACATTTATTAAATGAAATAGTTTCCATTATTATCGATGATGATTTTCCATCTTACAATCAGGTTGTTAATGCCCTGATTAAAGAAATCACTTGGAATTGAAGCAGGAAAACATGTCGATATCCTCTTTAACGCCTTCCACATTTGCACACGTTTTCCCATTAAGATGGTGTTGCAGCGAACGAAAAAGATAGTACTCTGATGGTGCCATATCTGGAAAATATGGTAAGTGGGGAGAACTTCCCAACCCAAATTCATAATCTTGTGTTGCGTCAAATGTGCTGCATGTGGACGTGCATTGTCGTGGAGAA